TCTACACAACCAACCACTCTTGCTGAATAACATAAACATCAAAAGTGTTTTTTCAACAACTAAACAACCTGTACTCAGCTAATCAACTGTGTTAGCGCTACTTTGGATGCATTTTTACAGTCAGCTAGGTTTATTTTTAGACGTGTGCAGTTTTACAGCTTCTACTCTGCTCCTTTACAAAGGTGAAGTAACTAGTCGAGAAAAGTGAGTCATGTGCACTATTATAAAGCCTCTACTCAGCGATTTTGTTGTAGAATGACATGTTGATTTTTTTACATCAGTTCAAAGTGTTGGCGTAGCACAGTTGTTAGTGTCAAGGATTGCCAATGCGGTCGTCTTGAGTTCGATTCCAGATTTCCGGTGCAGGGTAAATAATTGGTGATGTTGCTTGTAACTAATTTGGATTAATTTGATTTACAGCAAAATATAAACTTAATAAATTCCTTCATTAAAAAATATCGTAAACAATATTTAACCTGGCTTCAAGGCAAGGCTGTGTAGTGATTATTGGATAACCGGTAAAAGGTTGAATAAGCGCCTTTCAAGTCCACACACAACTAAACAGCAGGATAACAGCTGTATATAAGCGTTAATGGATATGCAATAAAAGCTTGTCCCAACCGTCCCAACAGCCATAAGTAGCTGACTAAGTACGCCAGATTTGCTTGTATAGAGGTTGATTAAAGGTTTCCTCATTTCGTACAACGTTTGAATACAACTTGAGGCTATATACATGAAATGAGTAAAGCGTTTACTTTGTGAAAATTGTTAGTTGGGGCATATATAGAGCCTCGGGTGCTACTCATTTTTTTGCGAGTAAAACACACGCTGTTGCGAGACTGCACTTTCATTTCCAAAGAGAAGTGAAAGAGCATTTAAAATCGTGCATCACATTGCAGTCTTCTTGTGTTGGAGAGCTGCCGCTCCAACGGTGTTAAGTCTCTTTCTCTCTGTCTCTCTCTTTGTTTCTCCTACAGTGAACTTTCTCTATAACTGTAGCGTTGTATGATAGCTAGCATCAGTGCTGTTAATTTTCATATCATTCGATTGAAGATGAACCAATAAAACTATTAAATCGATTCTATGAAAAAAATTATCTCGTGCCCATCATTTGAAGAGCCCTTTTCATTCGAAGTTCATTGTCACTGTCAATTGAGTCACCCACTATCATTTGATATACGACAGTGGAGTGTGGAAGAAACCCAGTTGTTGGGTGAATTTGGGGTTTATGTTGGGGCAATGTCGGGTCAACATCGGGTTGGGGTTTGATAGAAGTCAGGTTCGTGTCGGGTTGGCTTAGATTTTTCGCCGGAATGTCGACCAGAGCTAACCCCCTTGTGAAGAAAATTACATACTGCAACAAATATAAAAAAATATTCTGCACCCAGCCTAACACATGCAGCCATTCTTGTAAATCTCTAAGCCACGTCTCTCCCGATTGAAAAGTGCTACTCCCGTCATAACACCGTGCACTACTCGATTGTGCTATACGCAAGTAGCACCTGAGCTGTCCAACTACTCTCTCCTAAATATGAAATCTCTCTCTCCTTAGTCTCTTTCTCCTTCCAAATATAAGGGACGCGCTCCCTTATTTTAGAGTAGCACCAGTGTTTTTTGCACCACTCTGAGTTTTTAGTCGATGCCTGTACAGAGGTACCAACAATCAATACGAAACTAACGATTTTAAATTGGCTCACTACTTGACTAGCCTATTGGTACCCAGCAAATCGATTAACGTACCCCATTCTAGTCAAAATTCTAGTACTACATAATGTTTGTTTTGATTCTCTATGAAAGTTTGACAGATAAAATGAGGGGTTATTGGATTTTCCTATGTTTCGAGGGGTGAATCGATTAGCTTGGGACCGAAGATAGAACCAGAGTTGAGCCAAAAAGTTGAGCACGTTTCTTCGGGACCTACTAGTCTTAGAGTTACCTCTATGGAGGTACCAGACATGTTTTGCACTGCAGTGTTCTCTGTGAACAATTAACGTAAAACAGATTATGAGTAGTTTTCGACAGATGCCACCGCAAACAGCAGCAGTGACATCTGATGGAACATGAATGCAGAAGCTGGACAAAAAGATTAATTCACACCGAATCATTTAACAAGATCACGCTTCTTTTCCCCCCACTGTCTAGCGCAAAGTGAGTGAGAAATTTCTGTGAATCTTCAGATAAGGTCCTAAGAGGTATGACTTCAGCGAACGGAAGTCCAACGGATTCCGTAAGTCACGGTCGTGAGAGTTTAGTTATATAGATCTCCCTCTTGAATCGTTACAATCTGCTCGTCTTATTCCTTATGATTGATGAAGGATTTCTCTAACCGAATAACCGGAGAACGAATTCAAACGATACGTTACAGTTACGAAAGTTGTGTGACTGAAAATTAATTTTCTTCTATTTAGCTTTTTTTTTCTTAGATTTGTTTTTTGTCGATCTTCCAATGCTAACGACGCCAGGGAGGCAGCTCCCACACTTGGACCCTACCTTTATTTCCCTTCCGAAGAAAGGCGTGATCAAAGATGTTATGCCTCAGAAAATCCCGGCGGCGCGGACTGGAATTGAACCCAGCCCTTTTGGGGTGACAGGCAATCACACTTACCACTACACCACCGGCGCCGCTTATGCTCTTTAGCTATTCGAGTTCGTTTCATTTAGCATTTGGTTTTATTTAATATTTAAATCAAATTAATTTAATATAAAGGAACTATTGAAGCACAGACAAACAGACCTAGCACATTGAATATTTCTCACTGTAAAACATCGTCGCTAAAACAATACCTCCATCTGTTGAGTACACTGTGATGGGTAGTACGTTGAACAGATGGCGGTAGTGTGTAAACGTCAAACGCAAGGGAATTGACTATACGCGCCACAGGTGACGATACTGCCATCTATGATACTTTTAAATTTACCGTTAAATGCTTGTTCGATGAACAACTTGCGAAAGTTATGTCTGTTTGTCTGTGATTGAAGGTTAATAAGAACAACAAATAATTAAATTTAATTAAATGGAACTCAACTTAATTTAATGGTTGAAAATAAACATGAACCAATAATGAAACAAAAATATATTTACCATAAAACGCCTACTGTTATAGTCACTAGTGGGTTAATACGGTTTTCAACTGTACCGATGGTACAAAGAACAACGAATACAAGCTAAACATTACAAAATGAGAAGCTCATGAAAATTAAAGACATAGGTGACGGGTTGCCAAAATCGGACATACACTGCATGTAAATTATTCATACAAATGTGCGAACATTCACACAAAAGCATGCTCCACTAAACTGGTTACCGATAGAACTCCCCCAAATACCGAAAACAGACAAACCCTACCATCAGCTGCCAGCACTTGGAGCACTTCCTGCCTTCCGTCTATTAAGGAATCAATCCTTTCTGCAGCTTGTGCAGATTGCGGTCGATTGCTACCAGCTTGTCTTTAAACGGTCCGATGCTCATTCGATGTCGGTCTGCTCGGCATTGGGATGATATCGCCACCCACACACCGAACACCGACCGCACCAAAATGTGTTGACTGAATCATTGCATCTAACAACAACAGATTCAAGCAAGTGACCTAATCCTGATTCCGTGGAAGGGGTTGTGGGCCGAAGTTCCGTTTGAGGATGGTATGGCATCCAACTGGCAATTCCTGATGCTGTAAGATCCTGCAGACAATCGTAAGTTGTGACTGTGTAGGCTTTTCCGAAATAGCTCCACGTGGAAGTTTATAATCGAATGGAATGGGAAAACGGTGGGAAGATGGTCGAGGTGAAGGTTTCGAACATATGTTGTCTCTGTTGAATGCAAAAGCATCAACTAGATTGTGCTTTTGAATAAAATTGATATTCCTGCTAAAGGGCAAGCGGAAACAATGTTGGGCCGAATGTTTCGGGTAATGAAATACTCAAGTGGCTTCCTAATAACAACTTGGAGAGAGATGATTCGAGTTGTTGACAAGCTTCGATACGAGATATCAAGTGTGGTACCTGTAGCTTGAGGAAGGTGAAAGGAGCAGAGTTTTAGTGCTTTGCAACTAATGAATTCTAAATTGTTATGATTGGAAGTGCAACTGATGGTGGATTTGAGATATATTAAAAAGTACGAGAACCTGGTAAAAAATACAAATAGTTGAGAATGTATATGATCTTCTGAATTGCTCGTTAAGGGCACATTTCTAGAAATTTAGAGCAAATCCAGTGTAGCCGGAAGCTCTATCTGAGCATAAACGAAACAACACATTCCATAATCGGCAAATGCATAATTCATGTACCTCCAAGCATGCCTTTTAACACCATATGTGAATGATGCTTCCTTATGTTCAGCTTTGAATCCCGCAGTAGAAATTTGTTCAAAAGAAGCCAAGAGCGTAGATGCTAGAAGAAGCAAAAAAAAAACTTAAAACCAGATCAGCATCCCTTGACTTCTTCCGTATGCTGACGCTAACCTGCCTTTGAGCTTTCGTGTAAAAGTGCCAACAAGCGTGTCCGGGGCTTGTCTGCATTCAACACCACTGTGCCTTTTCTCCTCGAAGGCACGTTTGCTGCCATATTAGCGCAACAGAAAGCTCGTGAAAGAGTGAGAGGCGAGCAGCGAAGTGGCAGAAGTTGCACATGATTTATTGCTTCCTTTACAACAGAAAGAGGATGCGGCAGCAGCAGCACTAGCAGCAACCAAACACGCGTGTTGTGTTAAGCTGCTTCCGGAGCAAGGATGCAAAAAAGAGGTTGCACGTCACCACCGTGTTGCCCTTTTTCTTTCCTCCTGCTCCGGTAGTGCACTTTAAAAGAAGTCAAACTTTCCTAATAGCAGCTGACAGGCCGAGAGGACAGGGAAAATGATTGAAAGGTTTCCGAACGCCGTCTGAGTGCGTCTGAAACAGAAACAGTTTTCTCAATTTTGTCCCAATTTTGAACCACGTTCGCACCGGAAGCCGTATAAACACGCCGACTAATAAGTGACCTCGTTTCTCCTTTTACTCAATTTTCAGATGTATCAACGTACCAGCCGGATTTCGCAGAGCCAATAATCAACATATCGGTGGCCATCGGACGGGATGCGACATTCACCTGTCACGTACGGCACCTGGGAGGTTACCGGGTAAGTCACATATAATCAAATGATCCCCAGCTTTCCCCGGCCGAGAGAAGATGGTTCTCGTTTACGCTGAACGCAGATACGTCATATCGATATCCTTGCTCTGTGGAACATGACAGATGTGCGTGAACTATCGGCTGAATGTGTTTGAATATCTGACATTGGCAAAAAATATACAAAAATTACCAAGCAGCTAAACTCCGCTTGATAAATCATACCATTTTATTCCAATTTCCAGACCGCATTTCAGCGAAAATGAATACTAATAGGGATCCACAGTGACGGCGGTGTTGACAAGGGCGAGTCTAACGACGAACGACATCATTTCGGTTTCAAACTGATTGAAATAGCGATTTTGTAGAACGCACATCATTCTCCAGAACCGCAAATCTGGGTCGGTCGGAGTGCTAGGCTAGGATTATGTATGTAGAAAAGGAGGCCCCCCTGTAGTGTGTCTATGAATATTGATTCTTTATTAACGAAGGTTTCGCATGAGCCATCGAGATTTCGGCGAGCATTTTAAACGGGTTTCAAGGCTTTTAATGCTTCACTAACATGAAAACTTTTAATCAATCATATTAACATTGGTGTGGCAGTTTTTACATAATGAACATTTTCGTATAGAACCTTCTCGAGATGATTTTCTAATCGCAGTGCATTTGGGAAAACAAAATGTGTTCGAATCAGTGCGCATCGTTAGTGTTCACTCGTCTGTCGGCAGAAGCAGACCACTCTCAATGTGTGTCACGCGATCGTCTGTTCACTCGGCAGCAACCATTGTGTGGTCCTCCTCATTGTTCTTCATCAGCATTTCCTTCAGTCGATGCGTCGTCGACTTTGGAAAGCAACCGTTTCGTGATGAGTGTGTGAGTGCTGACCACGTTTTGCGTCTTTTGCTGCAATGGAAGCGCACTGCTCCCCGTTGGCAAATCTGCCATTCAATGAAACCACTGCATTGGATACTAGCGGAGAAAAGCCTTCAATCTCGAATTCTTTTTGACCAGTCCATCGCGAGCTATATCTGCGAAAACTTGGCCGAAGCGCTCTTCCTGTGCGGTTCTTACGAGTTTTCTGTTGCGCTGTGGTTTCTCTTGAAGATGATTTCAGGAGTATCATACTTTTGATAAGTCATCAGGAAGCTGGAATTGCCTATTTATAGTGGGGCTTTCACAAATGTCTAAAACGTATTTACTTACTCTAAACTATCATAAAATGAGCTAAATGTGACAAAAGTCTCGACAAAATTGCGACCCGTTGCAATTATTGCAGAACACCACTTTTTTCTTGTGGATTTCGTAGTTCGCCAAGTGCTGACGCAATATCGAGCACAAACATGTGGTTTCTTTATGACTTAAACACCCCCCCCCCCCCTCTTCCCACGCAGTGAACCACCAAAGATCGTTTTGCACAACACTCTTTCTAAAAATTCTTCCAGCTAAGAATGAACTGAAAATGCATCAACGCATTGCCAGAAGAAGTTGTATACCTTGAATTTGGGATCTTGTGTACGGAATTCATTGATTCAAAATGCTTGGAGTTTTAAGATATTTTTATGTTTCAAATAAGGTCAAACTTTTGACTCACCTTACTATTTTCCTCTTCGATCCTTGTTTGAACCCACCCAACCCGAGGTAATCCTGTTTGGACATCAACTTGGAAAATTCTTCTTCAGTCCTTCGGAGTCTTATAGTAATATGCTTGGAAGTCGATTTGTAAAAACTTTTATTTTTTACCAAATGCAAAAGAAAAGGTCAATTTCTTGATCCCTCTTCTGATGAAATTTATTTGAACAATAAATTTGATATGCTCACGGATGATGAGAATGATCCATCGTCCAGGCAAAATTATACTAAACATTCCAGGTTTAATTCCAAGAAGGAAAAGTTCCCCCTATTGTGGTTACCACTTCCGATTTCCATGCTCTTCGCACGGAACTAAGCTAAAAAGGGACGCAAACTATTTCATTTATTGAAATGACCGTTTTTATGGAGCCTTATCTTTCATTCTTCAGCGGCCCAAGAAAATCGAAATAAAATGTTTGTTTACGTCCCATAATTTACGTCCAATATGGATTACGTCTCGTTTAAAAGTAGTTATTTCTAAGTGTGACTATCCAATATCCAAGGAGCCCAAATGTTTTTCATCAGCAAGAAATCGATCATCTGTTGATTTCGTCTTAACAGATTAATGTCAATTTTGTAACCAATTCAAGCTGAACATTGCATTAGGTCCTAAGTAATATTGATCGATTCTCTTCGTCGACTTTCTCTTTCGTTAATAACATGAGCCCATAACCATTTCTTGTTGTGTTTCTCTTATTAGATGCTACATAAAAGCTTCTTTTATCGATCTGGGAATGTTTTACATGACCGAAGGGATACAAAGAGAAAGTCGACAAAGAGAATTTGTCAATATTACTTAGGACCTAATGGAATGCTCAGCTTGAATTCGTTGCCTCGGTTCTGACACATAACATATGTAGAACTTCATGCAAAATAACTAACTAAAAGTTGGCCCTTTTTTTTGTGTTGCCTCAGTGGAATAACTGGTATATTTGGCCATCGATCTGTCAAAAGAAAAATTTTCATCATATCAACAAGGACCAATGTCGAAAACTTAAACAATGGCTTCTTCCGTAAATTGTCGTAGCTCAAAGTCAATCCATGTAAGGTCTGTACTCGAAAAAAATGCACCAGACAAAAGTGTTCGCCAAAAATTTATTTTAAGTCGGATTTTCATGAAACTTCCAGGGAATGAACTAATACATATGGATTATGTTTCGGCACAATTACTTTATTCAATTTCCTTTCCATCGCTGAAAACCCGCACCTTTCCCTTAAGACCCCTCATTACATTTTGTGCAATGGTGGAGCCGACCTTTTTGGTCACTTTCATCCATTCTTTCTTCAACTCCAGCTCGTTCTTAAACACCTTGGACGATTTTCGAACTTTGGCCTTCATTATGGCCCAAAATCTTTCCACCGGACGAATCTCTGATGAATTTGGGCGGTTTTTGGTACAAAAACAACGTTATTGTCTCTGTACCAATCCAACGTCAATCGCGCGAAATGGCATGATGCCAGGTCCGGCCAAAATAATGTCTCGCCTCCGTGGGACCGCAGGAAGGAAAACAGACGCTTCTGGAGGCACTCGGTGCGGTGAATTTCGCTGTTGATAGTACCCATTGTGATGTACGGTTTACTCAGTTTACCGCATTGGCATATGGCCTGCCAGAGCAAGTATTTTTTGGCGAATTTGTCCACTTTATTCTTCCTTATGTCTTCCGGAACATCAAACCGTGATTTGGCAACGTAGAACTCCAGCCCCGGTATCTGCTTTGCGTCTGCCTTGATGTAGGTTTCGTCATCCATAACCACAGACATCGGTTTCGTTAACCACTCTCGATACAGCTTCCTTGCGCGGGATTTGGCCGCCGTGTTTTGTTTGTTTTTTTTTTTTCCTCTATTTAACGTCGGTCTCTGTTCCGCAATCTAGTGCCAATCACCGACGGACATCGATTGCCATCCATTGACGACAATCGAATGTGCAGGAAGGCAGCTTCCACACCTGCGTAGGATATCGCACCCATTCAATCAAACACACATGGGCCGGGACCAACGGCTTACTTCCCTTCCGAAGGAAGACGTGACCAGAGATTTTTATGCCTCATAAAAATCCCATCGACCTCGGCTGGGATTGAACCCAGACCCATTGTTTTGTTGATCACGCCGGTTCGGTGCCTTCCGGACCTTGAATACACGAAGCCTAGCTCGTTTCATTGTTTGCTGAACGAACCAGGCGGAACACTTTGCCTTCAGAGCCACGTCGCGAATCAAAAGGTTCGGATTACGCTTGAAATAATCCAACACCTTCCGGGCCTTCACAGGGTCAGCTGTCTTCGATTTTCTTAAACGATGTTACCACCCTAGACACAGTTGTATGAGTGATTTCCAGTTGTCTTCCGATCCATCTCATGGTCGCAGTCGGATTTTCCATGACGGCGCGCAAAATTCTCCGGCGATTTTCTTCTTGTTTCGATGACATCTCAATAACCACTGAACCGATTGTTATGAAATTTTGCACATGTAAACAATTCACTCCAAACTAGTTATACTCAAATTTTCATCAATTTTTACCCACGGATAAAAAAAGTTACACACGGATAAACATGGTAAATTTTTTTCGAGTACAAGCCTTAAGCCACCAATTCTATTGGATATGGGGACTCTACCTCTATATAACCATCGGTGGTTTTCCATTCTCGAGAAATTCGCGGAAAAATTCATTGTTTACGTTTTCGACATTGGCTCTTATGAAATGCAATGGTTGCATGCTCAGTAAGCATTGACGTTGACGACGACTGTGCAATTTATTACTCCTATGGTAAAATCCCAAAAGCATCTGTGCATGAAATCTAGCGATCTTTGTCTTGTCTCTTCACTCCACCGTGGTATCAGTGAGGCACCGTTTCTTTTCACGCAAAGCTTGATCCTATCAATATATGCTTTTCACAGGAGTGACAACGTCGCTAGAACTATTCCACAGCCGCAGACAGTAATATGCAAAGGCGGGCGCACATTTTTTGCCTGTAGATTTGAAGACATACTTCAAATCTCCGCGTACATCGTACGGGTTAGGCAAAGGGTGTGCGTTTGACTTTGTACTGTCGCATTAATGACCCTTCGCTCATTTTGAACTTCTATTCAATTTTTCATACTGCCGTACTCTAACGGAACTATCCACCTACCCTCTTGTAAGATCATTCTCTACCTAATAAATTATCTCACTAAAGCTTTATGCTAAATAGCATTTCCAATCAACTCTGAGGGAAAGGAAATTTCTAGCATGTTTCACAGACAGACGTTTCCTGATGAGGATTTACCATAAAAATAAAGAGTTACAGAGTGGCCGAAAAGGCCATTTGTAAGTTTCAAGGTAAAGCCTGGTACGCAGCTGAAAAGAAAACGGAAAAGTAATTTTTGATGATTATTCCCAAAAGAAAT